TTTACATTACGGCACTCGCGCGCAATCCTGTGCGGCAGCGGCTTTGCTTGTCGAGCTCGGGTACCGCGGCAACGGCCGAGACACATGTCTGCGGCTGTCGTCCCTCACGGCGAAAGTGGTAGTTATGGAAGCGGGCTCAGAGTTTGTGCACGACCCTCTTGCGCAGACCGAGGAGCCTCGTCCCGAACGACGGTGACAATTTCTCACAAGCTTCAAACATATTCAGCCACTGCTAGCCGAAGTATCATTGCCTGTCTTTCGGGGCTTCCACCAGTGCCACATGAACATAATACATGTACAAGTAATACGTCAGAGGAGCATGAAGGGCGAGGGAGGAGAAGTACGTAGGAGGGGGAGAGGGAGGAGGAGGAGGAGAAGGAGGAGGAGGAGGAGGAGGAGGACAAGGAGGACAAGGAGGAGGAGAAAAGACCAGCAGGGGGGGAGGAGGACTCATCCTTCACCCTCTCCCCCCCCTCACCCTCCTCACTCTTCCACTGCCTCTCATAATTCCTCCCCCCCTCCCTGCCTCTCTCTTCCCCCCTCCCTGCCCCTCCGCTGCAGGCCAGACCCATGCACAGGCTGCCGGAGTCGATCGACGTGTCCATCCGGGAGTGCCCGCCGTGGCGACCCTGGGGCGGGAGTCGCCAGGAGCAGGAGCCAGAGGGGAGGAGAGGATGAGGGAGGAAGGGGAAATGGGGAGGAGGGCGAGGTAAGGGGGGAACGAGGGGGCGGGAGTGAAGAAGGGAGATGAATGGAAAGAGAAGGAGGCTGTTGACGGACGGCCCCCTTGCAGTCCCGCCCGTGAATCCCCCGAATTACACGCACAGGAAATTACGATAACTAGACGTATGTGTGTATGTATGTATGTATGTATGTATGTATGTATGTATGTATGTATGTATATAAGTATGTATGTGTGTTTGTATGTGTAAACATTTACATATAGAATATATGTATATATGTGTATGTATGTTTATACATATATACATATATATATGCATATATACATACATATATATATATATAATGTGTGCGCATATAAGTATGTATACGATGTATACATGTAACGATGTCGGAACCATCTGTATGTATGCATATAAATAATACGCATGCATATGAAGAAGTACTTGGTCTTTAGGACCCCCCTTTTTCCAACGGCTCCCCCGGCACTTGTCCCAATGGCACTTGCTTGCTTGTTCTTGCGTGCTTGCTCTCGCTTGCTTGCTTTCTCTTGCTTGCTCTTGCTTGCCCTTGCTTGCTTGCACTTTATCGCCGACTCTTGCTTGCTTGTTACTGCTCGCTTGCGCGTGCTTGCTTCCACTTGCTTGCTTGCGCTTGCTTGATAATACTCTTCCCGTTCTCCTCTCGTCCTGCTCCCGTCCTTCTTTCGTCCTCCTCCTATCCTGCGTTCGTCCTCCTCCTGTCCTCCTATCTATTTGGAATCAACGCTGGCTGATATGTATAGATGTATGTACGTATATAGATGCATGTGTATATGTTGTTATGTTCATGATTGTATATGTAGATAATGCATTCCAGGTGCATAAGTATGTATGTACATATATAAGGAACAAAGAACCACAAGAGAGAGAGAGAGAGCAGGACAAAGCATCCCAAACAAAAGAAAAACGTCCCCCCCTCTCCAACCGACCCCCAGAAACGTCCAACAAGCGAAATCGACTGTGTCATTCACAACTTGCACATTTCACACATCCGGTCTGCCCAACCGCCACGGGCATCGTGCGCGCAACCGTATGGCTTTTTGACCGGCGCCGCGACATGCTGCGTTTGTTTGGTTGAATTGGTTTTCCTGGTCTGGAAATCAACGAAACGCTGCGTATGCTTGGTGTTTCTGGTTTTTTTGAAGATTTGGGAAGCGGCAGCATTCGCCGCGGCGTCCCGCCCAGCACCACTCTCTCTAAACCGCCAAAATCCGAACAAACAAAAACCAAACGCACTCAGCGTTTCGCACCCCGGTGCCACAGAATACTGCGCATGATTGGTTTGTTTGGTTTGTTTGCGTATGTTTGGTCGTTTGATTTTGGGCGTTCGGGAAGGCCCAAGCGTTCGCTGCGACCATAAACGTCTCCATCCCAGCATCCACCCCCCCAAAAAAAACAAGTGCGCAGTGTTCGTTTGATTCCCAAGCACGACAGCCCACCCAAGAAAAACAAAACGCAGCGTGTCGTGGAACCGTGTGAGAATCAACGGAACACCACCGATGTTTGTTCTTCTGTTGTTTAGGTCCGGGAAGGCCCCAGCGTTTGCCACGGCCTACCAACCAGGCCGCCCCCATCCCGGTGTCCAAAACCAAAACACCCGCACACCCACACACACACACACACATACACACACACACACACGCATAGTAAGTTTCATGTCCCCCTGGGGGGGGGTCCTCATATCCTCGGAAAGGGGAAGGAATGACAACTGAACAAAAAGGCGAGACAGGACAAGAAAATTTGAAAAATGCGAGAAACAGACCAAGACAAGTAGGACAATGATCGTATAGGCCGATGACGCACGAACGTTTCTCCGAAAAGGCCCCAGAGTGCCCGAAAAGGAATGCGCGCGGAAAACGAACAGCCGAAAGCTTAAACGGACACCAGATAGCCGAACGCCTAAACCGATAGACCTAGGAAGGACGGGGGAGGGAGAAATGGAAGATGGAGGACGGGCGAGGGAGGGGGGAAGGAGGTAGATGTGCCGCTGGCATCTGGATATAATCAGCGCGTGCCCAGTCTCCTGTATTGCGTCACCCCGGTGGGCACAGACGGACGACGACGACGCCGACGTCGGCTACGACGACCACGACCCAGGCGACGACGACGACGACGACGACGAGGACCACGACGCTGGCGACAAGAAAAGACAAGAGCCCATAGAGCCCAATCAGGTCAACATATCCTGTGAAACCGGAACTCTGGGTAGGCGGCTACACCGCCGACTGCATGAAAATAAATGCGCAGTGCAGAGACAGCCACGCTCTGCTCAGGGCAGCACTTGCCCCCTGGCCGGGGGCCACCCCAAGGCACGCAGCCCCAGATCGGAGTCCCAGCTCTCAGGCGCCAGGTCCACCACTCCTTCCCCGACCCGACCCCCTCCCCCGAGTCCCGCCCCGACCTCCCCCCTATGTGAATGCGTCTGCCACGGCAGCGGCATGACTGGCATTGACGACAACTCCGTTGAATCGCATCCTGGAGCCACCTCGGCGCTGGTCGCACCACTAATCACACTCTGCGAAATCACCCCTCTCTCAAGCAGGCTGTCCAAGCGCGGACTCTGGAAACAAGCCTGCGGCAACTGCGCGGCGACAGAACGACTCGCGATGGCAGCGCTGCTACTAATCTGCGCGCCCTCTTCACACCGTCCAACAGGCGCGAGACCTCTCTCTCCCACGGCCTCCTCGGCCGCGGCCCGCCCACACACTGGCCGCCCTCGGATCCGATGACCAGAGAGAGCGTGATCCACCGCCGCTTTATTATGGAAAATTGCCCCCCTCTTCCTCCGAAGCCCGGGGTCTCCCCCCCCCCCCTCCGAAAATCCCCCCCCCCTGCTGGACCCCCCCCCCCCTTCCCCGGCAAAACCCCCCCTCCCCTCCCCCCCCCCCCCCTCTCGAAAACCGGGGGGGGGTCACTACCGGTTCGAACCCCCCCCCCCTCGAAAACCGGGGGGGGTCACTACGGTTCGAACCCCCCCCCCTCTCGAAAATGGAGGGGGGCCAGTACCGGTTCGAACCCCTCCCAACCCCCCACTCACCGCCAGCAAACGACTCCCGGTCCCTACCACCGTCCGCATCACATCCCCCACTGTTGTTCCCAGCACCACTGTCCTCACCACCACTGTCCCCACTGATTCCACCACCGCCCCTACTGTCCCCACCACTGCCCCCACCACTGTCGCACTGCCCCCACTGTCCCCACCACTGTTCCCACCACGGTTCCACTCTCCCCACTGTATCCACGGCCCCAACCACTGCCCGACTATCCCCACTGTCCCCACTGTCCCACTGACTCCTCCGCAGTCCCACTGAGCTGTCCCACTGTTCCCACCAGTGTCCCCACTGTCCCCACCACTGTCCCCTCTGTACCTCTGTCCCATTGTCCCACCGCCGTCCTCGCCACCGCCTCCACCACTGTCCCCACCACCACTGTACCCTCCACTGTCCCACTGTTTCCACCTCATTCCCACTGTCCCCACACCACTGTCCCCACCACCACCGTCCCCACCACCGTCCCCACCACTGCCCACTGTCCTCACTGTTCCCACCATTGTCCCCACCACTGTCCCCACCACTACCGTCCCCACCACTGTCCCACTGTCCCCACCACTGTCCCGCTGTCCCCTCACCACTGTCCCCACCACCACCGCCCCCACCAGTGCCCGCACCCCCGCTCGGTTTTCAAGGGGGGGGGGAGGGTTTCGAACCGGTAGTGACCCCCCCGGTTTTCGAGGGGGGGGGGGTTCGAACCGGCAGTGACCCCCCCTTTTCATGGTGAGCTGGGGGGGGGGGTCGAACCAGCAGTGGCCCCACCCCCGGTTTTCCCGGGGGGGGGTTCGAACCGGTAATGGCCACCCCCCGGTTTTCCGCCAGCAGCGGTAGAACACGCTCTTTCGATGATCAAAATCAGACCCCCGCGCAGCCGCGCCCCCCCCGCATTGAAACGATCGATGTCCAGGCACGGAGCCGCCATCGCATATGAGCCCTCTTTCTTCTTCTGGATCTCCACACGGCAGTGCTTCACGACCCGACTGAGGTTCTGCAAGGAGCACTTGCTCACGGAAACGTTCAGACCCTCCATGGCCCCCCACGCTGCCTCGACCACGTTCTTCTCGAGCGCGCCCCTCTCCTACGCCGCGCAGCGCGCCACCGTCGCCACGCAGACGCGGAGGCGCGGGGCGCCGCGGACCCGATAGTCTGGAGCCCCGCCCGACCCCCCCCTCATTATTCAACTCCTTGCTGCGCTCGTCGCACAGTTGACCTGATCGCACCACTGCCTCGATCGCGCCAGCGCTGGTTGGGACGAACCGCTCGTTGAAGACGCAGGAGCCGAGGTCGCCACCTCCCGAGCCGCGACCAGCAGGAGCTTGGCGCAGGCCTCCTGCAGGCCCTTGCGCCCCGCGCGGCCCTTCTTGGGCGTCCCGCCTCTGCCATTGCCGCCGCTGTCGACTCCCTCCATTTCCTCTCCTTGCCCCCGCCCTCGGCCTGGCGCGTCGCTGCCTGGCTGCACCAGTCGGGAGTTGCACCGCTGCGCTGTCTCCTGGCATTGCGACCTTCTGCCTGCAGAACACTGCTCGCTGAAGTCCCCCGGGGGGGGAGGGGGGGGCGGGGGCGCGACTGCAGGTGGCTACGCAGATCGGGAAAGTCTCGCGCCGAAAAATCGCAACAAGGGCCGTCGAGGCAACCGGGGGGCCTCTCGGGGACTAAGGCCGAAGGGCCCTTTGTATAATAATGCTTTCGCTTGAGAGATCCCCGCTGACGTCTACGCGCCGCCCCGCGGGTGGGAAAAAATTGGGCGCGGCATGCGCGGACATCCGTTCCAGTTACAACCGAAGCGAGGTTTCAAACATGACTGGCGAAGCGTAGACGATGAAGGAGGCCTTTCTTCGCGGGGAAACGAGATACACAGGGGGGGGGGGGGGCATAACTCACCCAACACCTAAATTCCCTATCCTCACCAGCCTGGGAAGGAGGAGGGGCGGGGGGGAGGGAAGCGCAGCCGCGGCAGCAGACGCCAAAAGGAGGGGGGAAGGAGACGGAGGGGGTCCCAGACTAGGAGGTGGGATACTAACCGCATACTGCTGCTGACGAATTTCGTGGAAATCGATTCGGACAAATTCCTCGCTGGCCCCACTGGCACGAAAGAACCCAAGATCTGACGCGAAAGCCCCGAGGATGCTGCAATCCAAACGCTGAGCCGCAAAGGTGAGGCCACGCACTACTTGCAACAAGAAAAGGGGGGCATGGACCGCGGGGCGACCATTTAGGACCTGGGGGAACCTAGCACATGCAGGTAAGTCACCGAAAAGCACATGACCTGTAGACGCCGCTGGGGCTCTGCAGCCCAACTCATATACAGATGTAAACACCTCAATCCGAGTTCAAGCCGACTCTCTGCACATCGCCAATGACGGAGCAACTGACGCGCGTTCAATTGTGTTGGGTACGCCCCGTCCCAATCGGTGCCTTCACCGTGCATGGCCACCTTGCAGTGTCCAGCTAAAGCTTCGTCCAGCCTGCCACAGTCCGCATCTGTCGGTGCGAACCCCTCCAGACCTGTATAGAGGGAGTTAACTAGCAAGGCTTGCAGTAAACAGCGGCGCATGCGATATGGAATCCCTGCCAGACTCCACACATTGCCAAGCGAACAAAAACTGCCTCGTGCGGCTCTAGTTCGATTATCGATTCCATGGTGACAGCTCCCTCTCTCTGTTTCTCTCTCTCTCTCTCTCTCTCCCTCCCTCTCTCTCTCTCTCTCTCTCTCTTTCTCTCTCTCTCTCTCTCTCTTTTTCTCTCTCTCTCTCTCTCTCTCTCTCTCTCTCTCTCTCTCTCTTTCTCTCTCTGCACCAGAGACGGCCCTAGGTACCTGCATTCATCTTTCGGTGCCCCCTCAAGCCCGTGGTCACCCTGCCTCCAAGTTGCTGCTTAAAAAATCCCGATGCTGGCAGAAGTAGAAGAGGAGTTCTTGTTTCCCGAGGTTCTGGGCGAATCCAGCAGTGGCGAGCGATTCGCCCAGTCTCTCATGTACTCTGCGCGGCAGCGCATAAACGCACTAACAGTCGCCACAGGCGCGGCTAGCACAGTCTCACAGAAATCATCAGCGAATTTTGCCCAACTACCCACCGCGCCCCAGGGGCCCCACGTGGCCGTCAAAGCCCTGGCCTGGGGGTCAAAATCACGTTCTGGGCGCGGTTCCAGGCCATCCCTGGCCATCGAGCACAATCCAAAAAACAGCGCACAATAAACGGGGTCCCCATAATTCCCCCTTGGGCAGTTTTCAAAGTTACACTGCGGTCCTCGCCCTGCAGTGCGACAACGCTGCGCTGAAATCTCTGCATGCAAAATGGAGCGCCCTCCTCCGCCGCCCCCCTCTCCGCCGCCGACCCCATATCCGGCCATCGCGTCGAGGCGAAGGCGTTCGTCGCGTCTGTAGAGCAAACGCAATGTGTTCTACCACTCTGGCGAAGGCGCCAGGTCATACAATTCGCGACAAAAATAGCCCCCCCCCCCCTGCGGTGACAGTGGAACCCGCGCTCAACATTTGCCGGCGCCACTTTTACACGGGCGGCGAAAAACGCGTTTAATATCGCGGGCCAAACACGCATAACTCTGCGAGCTTTCGGCCCTGGGGCGCCATTCTTTAAAAGTCCCGCTCCGCGGGGCCACTGCCAGCACCGCGGGACACACTCGCGGGCTCGCATCTTGGCCAGGCCGAGGTGCAACAGGGAGGGTGGAAAAGCCTCAAGCGAAGGAATCGCCTGAAGCCCCAGCCCACGCTTCTGGCTCAAGCGCCAGTTGGACATCAGCAGCATCGGCCATGCCTCGCACGGCAACGCGCCATGGGGCACAGCCTCGCGCTTGGGCGCGCGGCAAAGGTACTTCTTGAGGCGCGTGATACCATCCTTGGCCAATTCGTGGATACTCTCATCCGCCACGCCCTCATAGCGGGAGCCCTCGCGCTGCTGCCGCCAGGCGCCCCGCTCGATCACGTGCGCCTGCGCGCCGCCAAGAAGGCCTTCCTCCTACAGGGTGTCAAGCCACTCCGCCGCCGTCGGCGGCGCAGGTGCGAGCGCGCCGCCGTCTCGCTTTTTGGGCCCGCACCTGCAGAACGCCGCCACTCGACAGGCCTGCATGGCCTCCGCCTGAACGACTGACGACTGACGACGCAGACGGGAGTCGAGAGCCCCCACTCCCTCCCCCCTCCCCCCACGCTCTCTCTTCGCCCCCCGCTCCCCGCTTTTCCTCGCCGCCCCTGCCCCAGCTGCGCCGACGCGGAAATGCCCGAGGGCCGAAGGCCGAAACCGATCGCCGCCGCCCGCGCCACTTGTTTTGCCCCCGCGCGAGCGGCCCTGGCTCTGCCGACCAAGCCCAGGTCGGGCCAGAGGTCCAATCGCCTTCGCGAGTCGCGCGGCGGCGCGCCTCGGCGAGCCTCGGCGCCTCGGCCAGCGACACCAAACAGACAAAGCAGCCGCGATAATCATCGGGAGGGGCCCGACCACCAGAAACCTTCCACAGGAAGCCCAACCCTGGGACCCCAAGATGCGCATTGATTTTCGGCGTGGGAAGGGCGCGATTTCCACTGCAAAACAATCGAAACCCAAGGAGCCCAGGGCCCCCGGGGCACCGTGGAGGCAGGCGGGGCGTTTCTTAGCAGGGGTCTCCACTGTGCAAGGCAAATCGCGCCCCCCTCCTCTTCTCCCTCGTCATTTTCCTCTTCCCTTCGGCCTCGGACTCCTCGGACCCCTGGGCCCCGAGCCCCAAGGCCCCTGGGCGCGGTCAGCAGCAAGCAGCCAGCAGCCTTAGGCCGAGGCCACCTTGATGGCAGAGCTCATGGCCTCCAGGCGGCTGCAGGACCGCTGAGGGCCACCTTGGACGTCTTCGATCACGAGATCGATCGCGGGGGCCGCCGCCTTTGAGAGAGGAGACGCCGAGCAGCTTTAACGCGCAAAAAAAGAAATACCGCGCCCCCCCCCCCACACACACACACACACACACACCACCCCAACCCCCACCACCCACTCCCCCCTCCCCCCCCCGGAGGTCTGCGGGCAAATGGTCCCAAATGGTCATTATCCTCCTCCGAGGAGGTAGCAAATAAGCCCAAAATTGCTCCCCCTGCTTATCGCCCCTCCTCCTGCCCCATCACTCCTTTTACTCGCCTTTATCTTCGTCATCAGCCCAAGCTTCGTCTTAGCGATCCCCCTACCATTCCGCTGCATCCCCCCAGCCCCCCCTTTCGCCCCCCCCCCTTGCGCTGGCCGCGTGCGACGTGATTGCAAGTATCATTGTGTACATGTGTATACATGTGCGCATGTCTGAATGCATATGCACGCGCGTCCGGGGATGCCGTTTAGAAACGACGAGCGTTCCCCATGCCGGCCTCGGAAATCATCGGGACGCGAGAGCGCCAACCGCGCATCTCCCGATGGGCCGACTCCGTGACAAGGAGCGCGGGCAGCATCCAGATGACGTCGCCCGGCATCGCGATCACGCAGTAGATCTTCGAATTGAAGAAAGCTTGACTGCAGGCGTCGGTGGGATGCTGCCCCTTGAATCACTTCAGGACCGAGTCGTACTTGATGTTGTTGGAGCCAGGCGGGATCCCCTGATATTCGAGGCACATGGCACGCAACTTGTCATATGGCACGATGGCCACGCGGCGAGCGCCGTCGAACTGCAGGCGAAGACAGCCCATAGAGAGGAACTCTGAGCACGCATAATAGGACTTGCTGCCGATACCGGAAACACTTGGTTGCATCATCCACTTCTTCTGATCAGCAGGCGAATCCAATAAATTGACGCTCGCCTCGTCGAGGGCGGGAACATAGTCCTTCGGCTTGCCCAGTGCCCGGATGGCCCCCGTGAGCTTCGCCCCCAAGTTCTTGCCCTCATCGACATGCAGTTGTGGCCGACTAGGTGGCTTCGTCTCCCTCTCCGTGCCCTCGCGAATTGGTCAAACGCCTCTCCGAGCAACGCGTCGCCCCGCAAACCATCGATGAACTCCCGCCCGGCGCGCAACATGAAGGGCACCGCCCAGTTTAGATCGGCATCATGCACGAAGCGCGCGCCCATATCCACCGCGGCGGGCACCTGCTCTGTAACATTGAAGGGGTAGTCGATGATGCGAATACTGTTGCCGCCCTTGCCCGTGTCGGCCGCGGTGGAGCTGTGCCCCGCTGAGCGCATAGATTCGCTGCTTTTTGCGGCCGAATGCTTCTGGGCCATGTCATTGCGCAGGCCCTCCACGTTGTCCATGAGCTCCTTGACAGCAGCTTTGCGCTTGTTGACAATGGCATTGAACTCCTACTTTTTCGCGCAGAGGTCGCAGGCTGCCTCCGCAGTCGCAATCACGTCTCCGAAGGTGTCCGAGAGCTTGAGCGCAGGAAAGGGCAAGGGAGGTTCTGATTTATCCTGGGAGAGCGACGCCAGAAGGGAGTCGGCCATCACTGCAAGCTTGACTCCAGAGGGCTTCTTATCTGAATCAGCGTTGAGGTCCTGGGCATTGGGCTGGGTCTGAATATGTGGCTTCTCGGAAGTGTCGTTATCCTTCTTGGAGGTGCCGACGTTGGCGCCCATGCCTTCGGGCATCTTGCCATCACTGACCTCGGCCCCCTCGGCGGTCGCAGCCGGCGCAGGCTCGGCGCAGGCTCGGCCTTCGCATCGTCGGCGCCGCGGCCTTGAGCTACATATTATTGCGCATTTTTCTTTGCATCCTCAGACTCGTGCTCGCGATTCTCAAAATTATCACCATGTCGGATGATACTGAACAGCTGTCCGATGTTTAGGTCATCCTCCGCATCCGCATCATCAACTGCGGCTACCACCGCAGAGTCGGGAAGGTGGCCAGGAATCTTCTTGACCACGACGGCGTACCAGAAGTCCTCGTTCTGCCACATTGAACCCATGGGCACCTGTGGAACTGACTACGCGGCCACCCGGACATCGAACGCGTCGAGACCGGAGGTGCGCATCTGGGCACTCGTTGACTTGTCAAGAAAAGCTCACGGCTCGAAGACTGCTTCGGCGATGGCATCCTTCGACTGCTCCGTCTTCTTAGGGGTCTTCTTATCTCTGCCCCACCGCGCCTCGATGAATTTCAGCTCTCCTGGCGCGCCAACCATTGCTTTATGCAGGTCGAGACGGGTGCCCGCCAAATATACATTGAAGATGTTCAAGTGTCTGCTTTTCACGGCATGCGCCTGTCTCATGAGGCCCACCTCGTTCTCCGAGCGGCTGGCTTCCATGATCGATTCATTCATCTGCAGTTGAACGAAGCTGACGGCGCGCGAACTAAGTCTCAGGCGTTTTCTCGATGTTGCCACCGACAACACTGGATTTGAATTCTAAGGCTCGTCGCCTTTCTCCTCGTTTTCCCCTGCCCCTTGAATGGGGCATTTCCCGTCGCCGTCGGCGGCGCCCATCTCGATGGCCTTCCGCTTGCGGCGGCGGCTAGCGGCGGAGGCCCCCCCCTTCTTCCCCATCTGTCTCGCCTGCAGCTTGCCCCTTAAGTCGCGACCCCTTCTGCTCTTTCAATCAAGCGGCGCCGTTGATGTCGCCCACGCTTGCATCGGAGAATTGGCCCCTGCCGCTCGGGGCACAAACAAAAACGAGGATTCCCCCAGGGCACCTCCGACGCCGTCAGCCAACATCCCCACCTTGTGAAAGCGAGCGCGGCCCGCGGCAAGCTCCGCGGAGAGGAAGGTCAAAGCATCCTGGACACATTCTCGTTGAGATCCCTCTTCCTGTCGACCCCGCGCTCATCGCGCGTGTCATTGTAGAACTTGAACTTGCCATCTGTGAAACCAGGCATCTTGATCTCCCCATTTGCTGCGCACAACGGCTTCACCCCGTAGTTTGACTTGAGCTACTTCCACTAGATGAAACCGCCTTCTTCTGCCTCACAGAAATCGAAAAACGACGACTGCGTCATGAACGCCCCCTCTGCCCACGTCTCCACGCCCGTAGATGCGACCCTCGCCTCGCGGTAGGTGGCCACGTCAAATGGCCCGGCCTGACCCTTCCTGTCTCGACGGGGCATTGCTCCGTGAAGTCGTCTACCACGCCCCTCCATTCCTCGTCGTAATTCTTCTCTTCATCAAAGAACCATCGCTCGCAGTCTTATGTGACCGCCACACGCCGTGCACGGTTGATGTTCGATTTGCAGAAGCCACACTTATCAGATCATTGCACTTTCGGCACGAGCACCCCAAACTTCCCCATGCAGACCGCGCGTCGGCAATCAATCCTTGCTACAGCGTCGCATTTTCCCCGCGTCTTCTTCTGCCGCAGGTCTTCCCCGCTAACGCGATGGGCGTTCTTCTTGCCGCGTCCGCCACCGCGACCGCGGCGCCGGCCGCGGCCGCCCTGAGGGCAGCGACACCGAACGCATACATGCAAGCACGCACATGATAAGAAAAGCCCGAGCGCGCCCCTCACGGACACGCGCGCGCATGGGCGCGACTCGAAATCAACGACCCCAGAGGCTGGAGCGTCCTCAGAGCGCACAGGGCACGCACGTATCGCGAGTTACCTTTTCCTTTTCCATGCGCGCACTTGAAGCTGCCGCCTGCCCAGCGTCGTCGGCCGCTGGCCGCTGACCGTGAACCATCGCGGCTGCAGTTGCGCAAGGGATAGTCACGTTGGAGAGCTGCCATTCAAATGATATCTAGCAGGCTGGGTCCGAGCTCGGTTGGACGAACGACTCAGAAAACGACTAAACTGGGTAGAATGCGATGACTCGTTCTCTCAAGTCGGCGCCGCGGAGGCTCCAGCCAGCAGGGCCTGGAGGAAACCTAGGAGAGTATTGTTTTTGTTGCTACATTGGTTTTTCACAAGGCCTTCCGAGGCTGCTCTGGGGACGGGGTGCCTTGATCACTGTGTCGACGATGGTATTGGGGACTAGATAGACTATGGGATCTCTCTTGCAAGCCACTCAGGCATTGCTCAAACCTATCCAATGCCAACCATCGCCTCCTCCGGATTCCTTCTGACTGCTCCGCGCCAGGGGTGCTCAGGACGCTGCTTGAATAGCTCTGGGCACCTCAGGGCTCTTTGGGACCTCTCTCGGCCCACTCTCGGGCCTCGTCGCGCTGGGCGCCCTGGGGCTTCTCTTGGCCAATCGATTGCGCATTCGGGGCTCGCTTAGGTTTGGCTGCCCTTGGGGCGGCAGGGGTGCCAAGTAATTCTGGGCGCTGACAGGACTCTTTGGGCCTCTCTTGGGAGTCCACTGGATCTGTCTATTGGGTCTTCATGTTTCTTCGGTCGTGGGGCTCACTGGGTCTGCCTGAAACTCTAGGTAGACCTGCGCCGAGCGCGCAGGGCCACTGCCCCTGCCTGCGCCGCGACCCCCGACGCAGAGCCCAGACAAACTATCCGCCGACAGCTGTTGAAACAAACGGCGCAAGGCGTATTCCAGCCGAAAAGTGATACCGGTTGCACAAATCAGCGAAATCAAAATTCGATGGCATCGCCATCGCTGACGCCGTTGCAGTCGCGATCCACTTGCAAGGGCACCGCGGTCACGGAGTGCACTTCCGAATGAGGGGGTGGAACTGCGAGCGCAAGCATAAGCGCGAAGCCTGCAACCAACAAATTCACCCCATCCCCTGCTACTTCGGCGGCCTCACCAAGGGTAAGGCGCGAGAGGACGTTCGCAACCGCGCGGTCACTATGGCAATGCCCTGGACGAGCATCATCCCTGTGAAGAGGCGGAGGCAGCGGTAGACCGAAAGACGGATGCCCAGGGCATTGGCGGACGCGCTGCATCGCAAGATGGGCGCGGGCCTGGATTCTGCGGAAGGTCAACACACATAACGTTGCACGAGCGCGCTATCTCCATCCCACGCCTGCCGCACCATGCTCAATGCTCTACCAGACTCGGTTCACATCCGGGCGGTAACAGCCCCTCAGGGGGGACGCCGTTGCCGCGCCAAGTGCGCCGCCGTCTCTTGCATTGCCCCAGTCATATCTCCTTCGCGTTGTCATCGCTGTCGATACAGAAACAACTGCCTTGGCCAGCCTGGGGCCCACCGCGGCTCGGAGGGGATTCGCAAGCAATCAAAGTTTATCAGCCTCCGATCTAGTCGTTTATAGACCTGTTTTCGCAAGGCCACTATTGCGACGAAACTAAATGCGCGACTTACGTTAGGAGTGTGACCTTAGGACATCTCATGCTTGAGGTTGTCCGACCAACCAGCAAAACGAGACTTCTTGGCAATGAGAATCCACTTACGGACTCGGCGCGGCTGATAACCATCACAACGAGGTGATGGGTGCTGCCCGTTGCCTTGAATAACAAATCTTCCTGAAGTAGCTCGGTGTTCTCGTGGGTGACGATGCCCCTCGGCTTGCGCACGCGCTCGAACAACCACGTCACGAACATAATGTCGGTGTGGCCACGCAGCGCTAACCGCTCACCCACTGCTGACCAATGGACGCAGGGCGTGCCAGCGATGGGAATTCGCAAGACCTCATCTGCGCACGAGGCCGTTACAAGCACAGTGCAAGCATGAGGAGTTACGAGCACTTCCGCCATCGTCGAGAAAATTGTTGGGCTGACGCTTCCACGAGATGTTTTTCTCCGTGCCCATCGCTACACTGCCCTTGTACTCTGCAAAAGGACTCTGTGACAGATCCGTGAGTTCTGTCGTGGCAATATCTGTGAGCTTGTCCAATGTGTCATTGAATATCCGATGTCCTTTGGGCCTTGGCCATGCTCGCAGTTCACGCAGGCATCGCAAATCCTTCTCGCATGCCTGTGACGAGACCCTGCCATGGGAAACGAAAGAAAGAAAAAAAAAAAAAAAAAAAAAAAATGCTGCATCGATGCAATTGATCGTGAATCCACCATGGCGGATGCAGGCCACCTGCGAGCAGTTACTTTGCGAGTAGTGGAACGCGCTTATCTTAAAGCGAACACTCAGCCAAAAGGCATTCAGGGCTCGGGGCCCCGTGCCAGGATGCAGGTGCATTCAGGCGCATTGAGTCAGATCGTCCGTTGCGACGCGGACGCAAAGGCAACCAACCTAAAAAGAGGTGGAACCCTAGATCCCCGACCCAGACACGCCCAGCATTTAGCTGCACCAATTGCCTCGTCGCCATCCTCCAAGAGAACTGGCCCTGCAGCCTCGCGCCGTTTCCTCGGCGGTTCCCCATGCGCAGTGCCGGTGGCGAAGAACTTGGCACACTACGAAATGCACTGCAAGTGCAAGAGCCCAAGCCCATCGAGCTTGAAGCGTCGGCGCACAAGCCTCGCAGCACTGGGGGCCAGCAAGTAGAAG